GAGAAAACCAAGGTACAGCACAGTTAAGTAACTACCCAAGATTACATAGCTAATAAGTGGCAGAACCAGGATTCAAACTCAGGCAGTTTGGTCCAAGCTCACATTTCTGGCCACTAAACTCTGCTTCTTCTCCATGTATTTATTTTTAAAATAGGAGAATTAGTCATAAGGCACATTGTTTGAACTATTTCTCTTTTAATCTAGGTCAGTGATTTCCAAACTCTTTTGGAGGGTAGAAAGGGCACAAGGAGATGAGGCTCTAGATATCCATCCCCTCCACAAACAGAACAGCTCCATTTTATACCTTGAAGTTCCACCTACGATTTCATTTGGGGAAAAGGAAAAGGATGAAATCCAATGCTCCAAATATGCTATATTATCAGAATTTTAATTTTCTGAGACTCCTATATCTCTTGAATCTCTTCCTTAACAGAGTTCTCAGCCAGAAACTCATACCTAATTTTTTTTTCCTGAACTTACAATTAAAAAAATTTTTTTCCTAAAGAGTTCATTTTCTTTCCTCTTGCCGGGATTACTGGTACGTCAACCTAACTAGCATCTCTGTTCCCCCTGTCACCCCAGTCCCCAGTCTTTCTGCTATTGGGTTCTTTTCCTAAAACACAAGGTGATCATGTCATGCTCCGCCTTGAAATCCTTTGATGGCTTTCCATCTCCCGGCAGTGTTTTATTCCCCAAACAATTCAAAGAGTATTTAATAGAAGGCTAAAATAACTGTGAAACACTGAATTCAACACCTTTTTTTTTTAAAACTATAGACCTTATGAGAGTTTTTCCCAAAGCATTTTGCCACAGCCCCTCTTCTCTCATTACACACCCCTGGGAATTAGAACTGTGCAGTCAGCCTACCTGGGTTTGAGCCAGCCCAGTGACTGCAGGCTGGTCACCCTGCACCGTGACCTCCCCATTTGTAAAATGAGGACAGCAAGAGTAGCTATCTTACAGACTTGTTATGAGAATTAAATTAGTTGACATATGGAAGGAGCTCAGCATAATATGTGGTACTTTAAAAGGTGGCGATCATTTTAATTATTTTTTGTGACATTTTAGAAACAACGTTCTAGAGGATCTAGTTAAAACTCCCTCGCCAGATACATCAAATCCCCCAAAAGCAGACTCCCGCCTGCCTTTCCATGCTCCTCCTTCCCCGCCATGACCCCTACACACACACAAACACATCAGCGCAAACTGAACTCTGCCCTTCCCTGAAAATTTCATGTTCTTTCCTGTTTCTGTACCGCAGCACGGGCTGTTCCCTTTGCTTTGTTTCTTGTTTGTCCTATTCTCTAAACTCTAGAGTTTCTGGGAGCAGGGACCCTATCATATTCAGCATTCCAGGGCTTGTGTTTACCGACCACATGAACCAGGCCTGGGCCCTCTGGATGCCATTTGAAATGGCAGCACATCAGTGCATTCAAAACCAGATTTGACCCACAAAAAGTCCCCATATAGATATGTGTCATTACATATTTGTCAAAACCTACACAGTGTACAACAGCAAGAGTGAACCCTAATGTAAACTATGGACTTTGGGTCATAATGATGTGTCAACGGTAGGTTCATGGATAACAAAAATTCCACTCTAGTGCGGGATGTTGATGTGGGGTGGGGGGTAGGGGTTATATGGGAACTCTCTGTACTTTCCACTCAATTTTGCCCTAAACCTAAAACTGCCCTAAAAAAAATAAAATCTATTTTTAAGTTATAAAATTAAGTGGCAAAACACAAATTATAATTAATGTAGATCAAAAATTAAATCAAAAATCTTTTTCTTCAGTCTACCATACATTTTTTTCTAATATAAAGCCATTATAAAGTGTGAGATACAACAAAACTTCAGAACACTTCTAATGGCACAGCCGAATATCCACCATAATCTTCTGGGTTTTCAAGCCTCCATAAGACTGAACATTTTGTTATATTTTAGATGGATTTTCACTTTTTTCTCTAAAGCACCATCAGGTCTATTTGGAAAATGACTCAAATACAAAGTCAAGAGAGTAGAGCAGACCCCGTGTTCACCCCTCCTACTTCTGCTTCTGGGTGGAGAAGGCATTCCTCCTGGAGGTGTGATTGTGCAAATGAAGAACAAGGTAGATAATTGCTCTATCTCATCCTTTGGTTCAAAAGTTGTTGCAGGATTGTTTCACAGAAGGCCATACCTTCCATGTCATCTGTCACAGAACAAAAGAATAAAATTTAAAAAGAAAGTGGGGCCGGCCCTGTGGCTTGGTGGTTAAGTGCGCGCGCTGCAATGCTGGTGGCCCGGGTTCGGATCCCGGGTGCGCATCGAGGCACCACTTCTCCCTCCATCCTGAGGCCGAGTCCCACATATAGCAACTAGAAGGATGTGCAGCTATGACATACAGCTATCTACTGGGGCTTTGGGGGGAAAAAATAAAATAAATAAAATCTTTAAAAAGAAAGTGAATTGCTCTAATGTGGCAATACCCATTTAGGGTATGTCAAAATGAAGCCAGCATTAAACGCAAACCCCGCCTCAGCATTAGAAGATCAGCCACCCTGCAACACACACTTGACAGTAGAATCTGGACGTCAACACTTTATCCTTTGCAACCACACAGTGGTGGGATAATCCGGGGTTGACCTTTGCCCTCTCACTGAGAAAAACAATAGTTTGCTGAGAGTAATTATTACCATACACATCCCCTGACACGCCTCACCTTGCACCTTCCACTCTTAGCTCTACCTGGTGATTCACAGAGAAGCCTTCTCAGCCCCTAAGAACGGGGTCTGCTCTTTCCCATCCTAGGATCTTCAAAAATCCACTTCCCCAGGCCCAGGATGACCTTCCCTTCTTTTGTATCTGCTGAACTCCTGCGTATCTTTCAAGTCCTCGTTCATAGGGCCCTGTTCATCTTTCATTGAGGCTTCCTCTCCCCATGCCAGGGCTGCGGTGTTCAGCAGGGCAGACTGTGCTCCAAGGAGAGCCACTGCCTGTCAGGCCTGCCCTGCATTGCATTTTAGCATGGACCACATTCAATCTGAACTGCTTATCTAACGCTGGATTCCCCCCCCTTCTGTGCATATCTTGAAAACATACATCTTGAAAATATCTTGAAATAGATAGATCATAGATCTTGAAAATATCTTGAAAACTGCATCTTATTTATCTTAGTTTCATCAAGTCCTAAAACAATGCCCGGTGCACTGCAGTTGCTCAAGATTTTCTTTAATGAAAAAGTGTTTTTAAGACTCTCAAACTGGAACAATTATAAACTATCAGACACAGCACTATGCATTTTCCATACTGTATCTCTTTTAATGTTTACAACAGCCCTATAAGGCAAGTAAGGCGACTATCATTATTCCCATTTTATAGGTGACAAAACTGATGCCCAGAGAAATGCAGTAACTTTTCCAAGGACACCTAACTAAGAAGTGACAGGACTATAATTTTCAAGTCTTCAAGTCCAAGACTCCAAAGACTGTGTTTGTACCTACTAACCAGATGCTATACTGCCTCCCAAGACATGCGAAGAATACTTAGTTACTTTAATTTGAGTTACTGGGAATACTCAAAAATAAAACCACTGTGTATCTTTTTAAATGATCTATAACTAAAATGTTTACAAGAATTTTGAACAGTCTCCTGCCCAACCCGTCACAGTATTAAGGTTTTTCCTTTATGCCCACCCACATGCATGTGTTTAAATATGTATACCCAAATGTGCTATTAATAAGCAAAAAAGAGCCAGCTATCCACCAGCAAAGTCAGAACATTTCACATATTTGTTCCTTTGTGTCAGCTACCAAGCTACATACATCTGTTGGGCAGGACAGTCTCCTACACAGGAAAATAAACTTCAAAAGAAGACCAGATCACTGAAAGCAAAGAATAAACACGAAGACCAGCAGGAGACAGAAGCATTCAGGTGAAACAGTCCCCCAGAGGATGAGTCGGCCTGTGCAGGACGCCAAGGGAAGAGGAAGAGTTTCTCTGACCCCAGTTCCTTTGTGCGCATGGAAAGAGAGTGGATGATGAGGGGCGAGGAAAGAAATCAAACACCATCACTTCCAACAGGCACCACTCCCTCTTCTCTATCACCTGAGGTATTGGACAACGCTGTCACTTGGTCCCTGTGAGACCACAGGGCCTAGGGCAACTACAGAGCTTTTCCCGATCCTCAGGAAGGCTTGAATCTCAGGGGGCTGGGCGTCATTTCGGCACTGGCAACCATTCAGCCGTACCACCTCACCCACTAGCCAATATGCTATGTGGCTCTCAAGACACAAACGCTTGTATGGGTTTCTTCCAAAAGTCTCCTTTCCTGAAAGTAAGACTAAAAAAGCATAAACTATTATAACTATAAAGCTTGTTATAAAGGATATTCTGCACTAAGAATCTCTACTAAAGAGTGGTCACAGGACTGTCTTAATGGTCAAGGCTGGGTTTGCTTACAGCCCGAAGAAGTCCCCCGGACAGTACAAAGAAAACAAGGGTCATGAGAACTCTTAAAAGGAACAAACCCCCATTTCACAAGCTCCCACAAAAAGCCTCACTGGTCACGCTTACTTTAAATACTTTTTCTCTTTGAAGGGAAAAATATAGAATAAAACAAAAAAATTGAAGCAGCTGCAGCCATCCCATATGTGGGAGTTTTCTCCTTGATATGCAGCCGGAATGCCAAAACACCAGCTTCCCACTCAATTGTTTTAAAGAGACACAACGACTTTGGCAAGGAGCGTCTCTCGTTTGAAACTCCCCCAAAACCTCCTCTTCAGCTGAAACCAAAGGGAAGCCGCCATCCTGTACAAGCTCTAGATGGTGTCCTTGCTTCTCACAACATCAGAGCAGGTCTCCTATCCACTGAAGGTTATAAGACCCAGCCCACGCTAAGAATAACAGGATTCTTCTAAACACAAGGATGAGGCTGAAAAGCATGGCAGGTGCCCACAGACAGGTGGCTGGTCCCGTTGGCCAGTTCTCACTCACACACCCACCATGCACACACTCTTACCTCCCGCAACTCCAGCCTCTGGGCCACAGCCTCCAGGCACTCCTGCCCTGTGCTTTCCACCGACAGTGTGCATTCGATGACATTGCTGTCCAACAGGCGGATCCGGGTGACAAAGCAGTTCTTGCTCAGCACGTTGTAGCGCCGCGTCCGGCGGAGCTTCAGGCCGAAAGGCATGGCTATATGGCCTTTGGACGCTGCCCTATCCTGGCGCCCACGCCCCGGAGCTGGCCTTAGCAGTTTCGTGACCGGGTGATGACACTACTACCCGTGCTCCTCCAGATACGGAAAAAGGTGTCCATGCCCGGCGTGGCGCTCTGGAGGATCACTGCAAACAGAAAAGCAGCAGCAAGGTCATGAGCTGGAAGGGAAGCTATGGAGGGTATGGCACAGACTCCACACACACAAACACACCACCCCCGACAGATGAACATCCAGACTGGAGAACCAGCCAGCTCTGTGACTCCCAAGCATCTTGGTGGAGCCCATGCACTTTACTTCATCTGACAAGGCTGATATGATAAAGTCCACTGGACAGCTGAGGAGCTGAGGTTCAGAGAGACTAAAAGAACTCATCCAAGGATTCAAAGAGTAAACAGTAAAGCCAGAATTCAAATCAATGTCTATGCAACCACAATTCACGTGCTTTTTCCACTGCACAATCCCATCTGCTCAAGAAAACAGTAGGAGTGGAATTTGAACAGCTTTTTTTTTAAACTTCTAAATATATTAATTGTCTCATTTCAACCTCATTAACACTATAGTGCAGATTTTATGATTCCTATTTTACAGATGAAAAAAGTGGGGTTCGATGATTTAAGTGACTCACTGATCCTGAACTCAAAATCTTATCTTGTTCCTCCCCACTCTTGGCAACACTGCCTCTTTACTTTCATTAACATTATTTGCTTTTATTTTTATTTTACTTTAATATTTATATTATTATTTGCTTTATTTTCTTATTTACTTTATTTACTTAGAATGGATGACAGAAAATGGAGGGAATACACATTTAATACAGTCAGCAACTTTCTCCTTTAAAAAAAATTTAAATATATAAATTCTTCAATGCACTTAAAATCACAACTGTCTGTACTTCTTTTTCAGCAAATAATTAGACAAATATGAGGAACCACCCTACCATCATTTGGTTCCTTTACAAAACACTTGATGCAAAAGCCCTGTCAACCAAGTTACAGATAATTTAACTTACTAATAACAAGATTTACTAACACCCTGATGTCCCACCAAATGCCAGCGATGACATTATTGCCATGGAGAGCACAAGAATAAAATAACAACAAAAGGGGCTTTACCATTCCACCCTGAGCCAGCAATGCTCTCACTGGGAGGCTCGTTAAACATATCTTCCAAAGAAGCCAGAAATGCCCAGACAGCTCCTCTGTTCGACTTTCTGTCCTCCATTAACTACAAAGGACCATCTCTTGCTCATATGATTGTTCTGTTAACTTGATTCCCTAAGTCAGGCGGATTCAGCCAGTCTTCACGCCCCTCATCCACAGAATTAACCCTGAGCCCCCAACACTTGGATGGACAAATATGAATAACTACTTGTAGGAATTCTTGAGTCAATAAATAAAATAGTTTGCATATTTAGAAACCAGTCCCTGCCAGTAACCCAGGCCTCATGGAGGTTGTCAGGGCACAGCCCACAACACAGCAAAACACACTCCCCAGACTCCTTCGGCCACTCTTTGATGTCTGCCCCCGGCACATTCCTTAGCATGACAGGTATATGTTTTATGATGGCTTAAAATACACAGGCTAGAAACTTTGGCTTGGTAGAATATATTAACATTTCTAAATCACTTTATGTTGGCAGAGTATCATGTTTACCTCCAAGGTAGACCAACCTGATCATCTCTTGATATCTGCAAAAAAAAATATGGAGGGCCCCCCAAAAAAGGAAAAAAAAAAAAAAAAAAGATTCAGAATTCAAATAGAGTCCTTAAGAGTTCACTACTCACACATTCCCTCAACTTGTTGAAGCACAGGGCAGAAAACACCAAGATTCACTTCCTGTATTAGCCAGGGACCCTCCAACAGAGATAAATATTTGCTCTGTGGGCAAAAGCCACATTCCTAATCCTGGGCCAGACACTCTACATTTGGGTGTGTCTCACCTTAAACACATACGAAAGAATGTGGCTGGCCTGGTGCACATTCATCCCAGCCACTATTAAAAACAATCCCTGCTACCTATTCTATGGGACGCCATCCATAACGCAGTTAGTGAAATAAACAGTAAACTGCACAACAACATGTAGAGATGATCACAGTTTTTATAATAAATAAACAAAAACACACCAAATGGGAAAAAATGTATAAGTTCATCAAAACGATTAACTGTTATCTCGGCTACACAGTGGTGATATGAAATAGAACAATTTAGAAATACATAAAATACAAAGTGAGAGTTCCAACATTTTACAACTGCTTTATATTATTTTTGTAAATAAGGATTAGTTCACATTATATTAGCTACTGAAAATGGTCTATTGGGAGCAACATCTGACAATCTGGCAATATTATCTCCTAGAAAAGATCTGACTACTTTAAGTTTTTAAAAAACTTTTTAAATCTTCTCTTTGCAAGCAACTTGCCAGGTAAGGTATCAACAAAAAAGTGATAAGAAAACTGGTCTGGTTGTGAGTCGATGTCATGAAACAAAAATGAAAGAGGGGGGATCGGAGGGGGGCCCCTCTAGAGTAAAAGAGATTTAGGAGTGATAAAAACAAAATGCAACGTGTGAACCTTAATCAAATCCAGGTTTGAAAAAAAATAGCTATAAAAGACACGAGACAACTGGGGAAATTTGAAATAGAGACTAGATATTAGATAATATTGTATATTATTGTTAATGCTCTTCCTTTTATGTTTTGTTTTTTTTGCTGAGGAAGACTGGCCCTGAGCTAATATCTGTTGCCAATCTTCCTCTTTTTGCTGAGCAAGAGTTGCCCTGAGCTAACACCTGTTGCCAACCTTACAACCTATTTTGTAAGTGAGCTGCCGCCACAGCACGGCCACCGACAGATGAGTGGTGTAGGTCTGCGCCCAGGAACTGAACCCAGGCCGCCGAAGCAGACCACACTGAACTTAACCACTAGGAAACTGGGGCTGGCCCCAATGTTCTTCCATTTTTGCTAATAGAATTGTGGTTATGTAGGAGAATGGCTTGAGGAGATGCCCATGGATATATTTAGGGGCAAAAAATGCCAAGATGCCTATAACTTACTGACGAATGGCTAAAAAACAACACATAAGCGCATACACAAATTCAGAATTGAAACAAATATGACAAAACGTTACCAGTTGCTGAATCCAGGTGGTGGGTGTACAGATATTCACTGCACTATTCTTTTAGCTTTTCTCTATATCTAAAAGTCTTCATAATCAAAAGGTGAAAAAAAAAAGGCAACCCTCGACGCAGGTACTCAACAGGCTCGCATCTTACCTACTCTTTATGGCTCGGTTTCAATGCTGCTGTGTCTCTCAATGGACTTCGTGGATCCTTCCCATCAGTCATTTTCTCTTTGTCTGAACTCCCACAGCCATTTGTGCTTATTTTAATACATTAATCTAACTTATGTTAAAAGTATTAACACAGTTTGACTCTAAACTTCTCCAGAGCTATAAACGTTTTCCCCATCTTTAACATACACATCGTTTACCGAAACTAAAAGTTGACAGCATTTACACCCAGAACTTGTGTGATCATAGAGCTGTGCTTCTGGAAGGAACTTCCAGACAGTCATTTAAGACATACCTTACCTTTAGGAAGAGCTATACCTAAATTATCGCAGGTAAACAATCTGTTTGACACTAACCTGTAACAATGGGGCTAGAGAAGATGATCTCTTAGTCCCTTTCAGTTTCAACATCTTAATAGTTGATGAATTACCCACCATGTTTAAGCTCTCAAAGAATCCATCGCATATGTCACTAATCCGCCTTTCAACTACCCACACAGGCATACAGTTCTACCTTAAACATAACGCAGCTTCCTGCTGTATTTTAAGCCCAGTTCCTCTGCTTTGTCCTTGATTCCTTGATAGACAGAGAGCGAGGACTAAGATATCCCACCACATAGCAGTCTAGACGTGAAGGCTACTCGAAGCAAGCCCTCTCTTTAAAATAGTCTGGCTCCTGGCACCTTTCTGACTTTCCCCACGTGGTTGTCTCCCGCCTCGTCATGTTTACATTATCTCATGAACATTACAAAACCTAGAACTAAATGCCATATTCCCATAGCAACGTCACATGTTAATGACACTTTTGATTTTCCTGAAGAAACCAGCTTTTCAAAAAAGATCAAATTAGGGAGTCATCATTCTGTTTACTATAAAGTTTCATTTTTAAATGGAAAGCTCCTTTAAAAATAAAAAGTCACGGGGCCGGCCAGGGGGCGCAAGCAGTTAAGTGAGCGCGCTCCGCTGCGGCGGCCCAGGGTTCGCCGGTTCGGATCCCGGGCGCGCACCGACGCACCGCTTCTTGGGCCATGCTGTGGCAGCATCCCATATAGAGGAGGATGGGCACGGACATTAGCCCAGGGCCAGTCTTCCTCAGCAAAAAAGAGGAGGATTGGCATGGATGTTAGTCAGGGCTGGTCTGCCTCACCATAAATAAATAAATAAATAAATAAATACTCACTTAAAATACGTATAGAATTTTATTTATCTACTTTTCAAGAACATATCTGGTAAATAATATCAAGCTGCAATTGTTGCTGAGACCCATTCACGGAAGTTAAGGTGACTCCTTTTTTGTTAATACAGATGGTAAAACTAACAGTGCTGACTCACAATATTTTTAAGACAAACAGCAACTTATTCTAATTTCAAAACATAATCTGCTAATCCTCTTTTTCTTAGGTGCATCTTAGAAACAAAAGTAGCATCGGTTAAGAGAGTTAGACCCTGGCCCTTCAGTGACTAGAGTTATTGAGAATAAGAAGCCAAGGCCAAAAAATGACAGGGAAAGTACCACAAATTCTCTGAACTCTCTAGTTCCCAGGTCTCTGTCTCAGCAAAGCAAATGGAAAGTGAATGTCAAGGGCTGCACCGAGGAAAGACATTCACTTGATAGGAGGAGAGAGAACTGTAGGCGAGCTGAGCGGTTCTCTCTAAGAACCCAAGTCTACTCTTAGGGAACCGAATGTGCACAAACCTTGGTGCAAGAACTGCCTTTAACCCAGAGAGGCCTGGGGTGAAGGCCAAGCGACTTATCCTCCCTCAGCCTCAGTTTACTGATCTATAAAGATAATATCGACCCCACCTGTATGTGAGAAGTAAACGAGAAAACGCTTCT